TTAGAGATCTGTTGTAGGCTGAATAACAAACCTCCCTCTCCCCAGAACTTGTGAATGGATATATTTTCCCACCTGGTAAAAGGGGAGTTGGCTTGGTTAAGGCAAAGATTTAGACATGGGGAGGACATGATGTTTTCAGTGGGGTCTGACATAATCAGAAAGGTCCTTATAAAAGGGAGGTGTGGGGGCTAGCCAGGAGTGAAAGTTGTAAGGCCAGAAGCAAGAAGCAAGAAGCAGAACAGGCCATGAGCCCAAGATTGAAGGCAGACTCTGACGACCTGGAAAACACAAGAGAACAGATTTTCTCTTACAGTGTCCAGAAGGAGCCAGCACTGTGGGCACCTTGACATAAGCCCAACAAGACTCATTGACCACCAGAACAGGGAGAAATAAACATAAACTGTTTTGTGACACAATGTTTATAGCAATGTGTTACAGCAACAATGGAAAACTAACATAGGACACTTCAATCTGATTGGCACAGTGTAGGCAGTATGTCTAAACCCCAGATGGGAAGACTAGGAAAAGGAATGTTTTTGGTTTCTCCAGTGTGAAGTGATATGTAGAGTGGCCAAGATTTTAGAACATAAGAAATGAATCCTGATGCTGGTAACTTCAACCACCCAAAGTCAAAAGCTATTAACCACAAGATTATTATCTGGTATTTTAGACATGTGTTAGATACCAGCACCTCTATCTTTTGTAGGAGCATCTCCAGAACCTTGTCTGGAAAGGCAGTGTTGGAAGAAATTGTGACAACAAAGAACGGAGCACGGTGCCTGGTACATAAGGTAATGCCAGTCTCTTTGTGGTTGTTATTGGTAGCTACATTAAGGTGAGCACCAGCAAGTCTGCTGGTTTCAGACAACTCTGGCTCTGTTAGTCTTCCTGTGAAAGAAAAAAATACCTGAGTATAAAGCATGGAGAAATTGAGGAGAGACAATAAGGAAGAATGAAGGGTAACACAGAGCAGACTGGCAGTGATGCTCAGTTCTCCACGTGGGGAAGGCCAGAGTGATGGCCTTGAGCATGCTCCTGAGGCATGGAGGCTCTGGGGCCAGATCATGGCCGTGGACATGCAGAGGAAGGGCCACCCCTGAGAGATTCTGTGAAGAAAGACTTCACGGGATGTGTGACTTGGGCACAGGGCATGGATTTGAAAAGGGAGGCAATATCACTGCAGGGTTTGAAGCCGTATAGCCACTACAAAACTAGTGGTGCTAAAATGGAGACCAGAAAAAGAAGCTATTGGGACACTTTTTCTTTTGGCTAATTTTAAAATTTCCTTTGTCAATTTGAGATTGGGGCTAGAATCAGTTGAGCATTTACTTTCAGATGTAGTTTCACCCATCACTAGGACATTGGTTCACTTAATCATTTTTTTTATATTTTAAGGATTGATTTATTTATTTGAAAGGCAAAGAGATGGTGGATAGAGAGAGCTCTCCTACTGCCTGGTTTGCTCCCCCAATGCCGGCAATACCTGGGGTTCGGCCAGGCCAAAGTTAAGAGCCAGGAACTCAAGCTAAGTCTCCCACATAAGTAATAGGGACCCAAGTACTTGGGGCATCATCTTTGACTTCTTAGGCACATTAGCAGGCAGTTGGATCATAAGTAGGGAAGCCTGGACTTGATCAAGCACACTGATATGGAATACAAGTGTCCCGCCACTCACTTAAGCTTGAAGAGTGTGTGAGGCACAAGAGAGGAAAAGTAATCTCATGGAAATCTTACGATGTTAGAATTTTAAGATCATTTGATTCAGTTCACTTTACCTACAAATAAAGAAATGAGGCCTGGAAATTGTAAATGAAAAGGAAAATAATCTATGATCGAAATTAAAAATGAGAAATCAGAGATGTGCCAACACTGAGAGAGCCAACATTACAGAAGCAAAGGAAAAGGGACACAAGTGTATCAGAGGGACTTAGAAAAAACAAAACAAACAAACCTGAAACTGAGCCTAATGCCATAGGTTCAAGATGGCACTAGACACTGTTCACATATGATAGCCCATTTAATTCTCACAGCACCCCCACACTGTAAAATGTTACTGCCATTTGAGAGTTGGGGACACTGAGACTAAGAGAGATTAGGCAGTCTGCCCCAAGATTGTGCAGCTTGTAAGGTTGACAAGTTGGGATATAACCTTTGTCTGACTCCAAAACCCTGCTCAGTTGTAGGGACCTTTTAGGGACATATGTGGGAGAAACACCTGGAGGCACCTGGCCCTAGAGGAATAACAATGATGTGTATACGTCCCAGAGCAGTTGTGAGGATGAAATTCATGATACATGTCAGGCACAGAGTAGGTGCTCAATAAATTTTCAGTGTTTATTATTATTGTGGTTGAGGTTGAAGATGCTGAAAAGGGAAAGAATAAATTTGGCGAAATTATTCCTTAGCTTAAGGGTAGGGATAAGTCAGGGTGTGCTGGAGGAATCAGCTCTGGGGAGAAGCAGATCTCTGGTCACTTTCTCGTCCAGGAGAGGGGCAAGCTCTGAGTGCTGGCCCCAGCCCCTAGGGATCTTTACTTTTTTCAGTTCTCTTTGGCATATTAAAATTCCAAATAGTATGACGATTTTTTTGAACATCCCTGTAGAAAGTCAATAGATTCACAGAAGACATTTAAGTGAATTCAACAGTTGGCCTTTGGTATTAAATGTGGGTAAAGGCACTGGCTTTTGACCTGTTACCCAAGCATTCACTTTACTTTTGCTTAAATTGGCAGCACTTTTCCATGCATGGTTTTGTGAAGGAATAGACAGTAAAGATGATGTTATTTCGCTTGTTTCCATGACAACGGACATGCTTCATGGAATATATCCATCATACACAGTCTTGAACCATCTGGTTTCTAAGTCCTTGGTGAAAACCCTCTAGGAATGAAGTGTAGGTAAACTTTAATCAGTTTTATAATTACTGTAGTCCTTGCAGAAATTATTTAACTTGATTTTGCAGCTGCTTCGACATAAGACCCAAAGGTCTTATTAGGGTTTTTATTGCCACTTTTAAGGAGCAGTTTAAGAATCATTATTGTACTTTAGCTGCAGATGCCACCGTTTCTGTTTTAGGTTCTGAGGCTGGGTCGCAGTGACATCACACAAAGACTGAGAAAGGTCAAAGTTATTTTTTTCTAACAGGCTCTGTCAAATATAAAAATTAACCAAACTTTGAGCTGGGTTTTATGTATTGGTAATGTATGTTTATGTTAGAGTTTCTGTCAAAACAGGCATTAAAGATAAATGTAGCTAATTAAAAGAACATTTGCTTGGAGCTCCTGGTAATAGATACCTCTTTGTGAGGTCTAGAGGTATGGCTTTCTTTAAGAACTGATGCAATTTGTGCGAGTGAACCTGAAGAGGAGAGGGGACTTTTGATTTTTCTGGAAATAAAACATGAGACTGAGAACTATCCAGTCTGAGCTCTAAGGAATAACCCAAGTAATAGTTAGGTGGCGAATTCCGTAAAACGTACGTGTCTAACCCACTTCTGACCTTTCATGTCGCCAGTGTTTCCCAAGTCTTTGAAGCAAATCTACTTTCAGAAGGTAATACCTCTTAACTGGCAGTAGATGAGTCCATATATTTCAGACTGAACCCTAGATGATTAAAAAACAGAACAAAAACTTTCAGCATCAACTTTCTGGCAGTTGTTGCTTTTCTTCATTTATTTTACCAGTCATTTATTCTACCTTCACTGCTTTCAACTATGTCTATGTATGCCCGTGGCATCTATGTTTTTTTTTTTTTTTTTTTTTTCCTGTAGTGAGGGGGCATAAAAGTGGAGACCAAGGGTAGATTTCTCTTCTAAAACAGCTAATTGAATTTGTGGTCCAAAAATAGATTCTTAGGTAACAGAAGACATGTTGTAAAAGGGATAGTATCATTTATCTCAGCCCATTGAGCCTTATAAGCTACGTGTTTACCTGGTACTAGGCAAAGGACCAATTTCATCTAACAATAAAGAGATTTAAGTGTTGAGATAGGATGGAATAAATTTTGCAAATAAACCATAATATTTGCATAATATTTTGATATTTGAAGCTATTTTCTATTTTAGCGTCTTCAGGACTATCAGAGTGAACTTCTAACCATAAGAATGATCCTGGAACTTATTTCTAATCTCTAATCTACTTTGACATAATTTAGGAAGTGCTATTTCTTGAATTTAAATATTTATTAACTTGAAAACACTACTAAGAAATTCCACCCGCCCCTTCCATGCCAAGAAGAGCTTTATGAAGTAGAAAGCTACACACATTTGAATAAAAGGTCCCCGTGACAATTAAGAGTTGTGAAACTTCTGCATGTGGCATAGTTTTTTGTCCCTAAAATATGAAGGAAGATTTGTGATAGGAAGCTTATTATGAGTCTAGTAATTCTACCACCAGAGGGCTCTCTATTTTTCACTTGAATGCAGCCACAGAGAAAGGAGCTGAGTCTTGGTATTTAAGAAAAATTTCTTTTTTACTTCTTATTCCCAAGTACCATAGCTTAAAAGCAAAAACATGGATTTCCATTCATCTACCCCAAGTTTAAAAAATAGCTTAAGGAATATTTTGCTTTTAGATCTCTAGATAAAGAGAAAAAAAATCAACACATCTTATAGGCTCCAATCATTTTATGTGTATGGAGTTGAGATTCTTATTTCTTTGATAAATACTGAGGCCTTTGATAGAGTTAGGAAGAGTGAGGAGAAGGAAGGCAGTGTGTTGTTATGTTGGTCTAGAGCTAAATGGATGGTATGGCAACAGCTGAGCTTGTGAACTCTATGGACTACCCAAGTACTTACTGAGGGAGCAAGCTGAACTGAGCAACAGGATGAGGAAGGCACACCATGGAGTGAAACTGAGATTGAGGAAGGCAAAGGGCTTCTGTGGTGAGCTATGTTGGATTTTTGTGCATGCAGCGAGCATGGTCAACACTGAATAAGAGGGAAGATAGTGCAGAACACACAGGTGCTGTTATATAATTTATGTGTGGATATAAGTGACTAGGATTTGTGGATGCTGAATGCCTACAATATTTATCTTCTCATGTTTCTACTGACCTATCATCAATTTGTACTCACTTTTCTTCCCCCTAGAAATGAGTTAAAGCATTGACTCCTTTGAATTTTTCTTGCAGTTGGCCTATGTGATACCCTAGAACCTTTATAGTGAAAACTTCATTGGTTGGGAATTCTTAGTTCTGGTTCTGACTCACTAAACCAGCTCAGTGACGTTGAGGAATTTACTTTCTCTCTCTGATCCTCATCATTTTTATATGTGAAAACATGAATGAAAAGTTGCACAGCCTTTTTATATTCAGATTCTAATTCTTCTGAATTATTGTTAAAAGAGCTTTAAGAAGAGGCTCTTATACATACCATAACATCCACCCAGTTAATGTGTATAATTTAAAGATTTTTAGAAAGCATATAGAATTGTGCAGCAATCCAATTTGAGAACATTTTCACCCAAAAGTTCCTTCATGCCTGCTTGTATTCAACCTCTTCTTCTAATTCCAGCCTAAAGCACAGTAATCCATTTTCTGTTTCTATGAATTTGTCTTTTTGGAAGTTGTATATTTATACAATCATATAATATGTAGTTTTGTTGTATCTGTCTTCTTTTATTTAGCATGGTGATTTTGAGGCCCACCTGTCATGTGGCACATATCAAGAGTTTCTTCCTCTTTCATACCTGAGTAGTATTCCACTGAATAGATATATCACATTTTGTTTGAAAGTGTTTAAATTTTTTTCCAGTTAGGAGCTATTATGGATAATGCTGCTATAAAAATTCATG